AACATAGATAAATTTTTATAAATATATAAATAAAAGAAATATGGTGTCGGGCTTCGTACATGAGCTCAGCTTGATTGTAGTCAACAACTATAGAGCTCAAATTAGAGACAGTGAATCATAACTTTTGTACCAAAGGATGAGACGATAAATTTTGAATCATGCAGACGTTCAACCAATTTTGAATCATCCATACAAAGATTTTGAAAATGTGGCATTTTTGAAAAATTGCACTTCAAAAATGGTATTTCTCAAAATTTCTCATTAAAAGTCGAGTATGGGCAATCGTAAATCATTAAATGCAATTTAGTCTACTTAAATGAATTTGATAGTTTGGATGAGTTAGTGATTATGTTTTGAGTTTGGAGGTTTATGATGAACTTAATAGTTTAGGAGAAAATATGTTGAGTTGTGAGACTGGATAAAATATAGCAAAGTCATTCCATGAATATACTAGATTTATATCGCGACGTTGCGCGAGAATTTAAAATTGCTAAGAATATGAATCACTGAATATAGATATATAATCAATTTTGTTTGAAAATATAAATTTATATAAACATTATAGATATAATTCATCAAGCAATATATAACATAAATATTGTTGAGGATAATTTTATTATTTGAAAAGTAACAAATTGCTATGTGTCACGTGGTAACCAAAGTAAAGTATGAACCTCACGAGAAGAGGAAATATATTTTTATATTAAAGTCTCATTAAGATATTCCCAAGAAATTTTAATGTTGACAATGAAGTCAATCATAAAAATTATTAAATGTGAATGTGCTAAATATGAACTGTCATTTACTTCAAATGTATAACGGACATACTCATGATGTTACAATGAGTTTAGTGATGACGTTTTATCCATCAAAGTAGGTGCATCGTGCGATAAAACAATTTTGGATCCAATCATGAATGTACATATCCCATTCCATATATAATGCGTACAATGTAAAACATATTAGCTCGACTTTAAACATGATTATCCTGTCCAATAATTCATGTCATGTATATTATGAAAACAAATTTATTTAAAACAGTAAATACGTTCTAAGATATTTTATGTTAGTCTTGTGCATGTATCTTTTCAAAATTTAGTCAAATTCTCTTCGAGCACTTTTTCACTAATATTTATATCGCCATCTTTCAATCGTGTTTTTCTACATCTATTTTTGTTTCAAATCCTTATATTATCATTATCAATTTTATAACCTTGTATTAGCTAACTTTATTCATTTATGTACTT